GGGGGGCTAATTCAAGGGGTGGGGCAAGCTGGCGGGAGAGCTACTGGCCAATCGGGGTAGTGGGGGCCATCGGGGTGGGCAGGCTGGGGAGAGGGGCTGCAGGAGATTGGCTGGTTGGCCCACCCCCAGATTAGCCGGTTCACTGGCTGCAGTGGGCGTCATAGTAACCAGTCGTTCTGGTTGTTATGGTGTTCTCGTTGTTTGCTTTTTATATAGAGAGAGTATATGTTTTTAAGTTGGCATTTCCTATAAGAAATGACTGTTACCACACAATTTCTAGCAAATGTATTCCACTAGTGGTATACACAATTTTAATTGGAAAACATTTTTTATTTGAAAGTACTTTATTATGTTTTAGAAAAAACTTTACCACATCAGAGCCATGATTTGAGCCACTACACTATTCTTACAAGAAGTCCAAGTAAATAATACTAATTTGATTTTTTTAAAAAAATGAACTAAGTGATAGTGCTAGTAACCCTTAAATTTGGAAACAATCCCAAAGTGGGGTGTAAATGATTAAAGTTTTTAAAACATTAGTTTACTGTAATCCTTTTTGCACAAAAGGAAGTATTTATCTGTATTTTTGTTTTGTTTTTAATATTTTTACTAAATTATTCTCTTCACTCTTTTAATGGGTAGCATATAGATTGCCATAAAACGTCTGTCTCAGATTTGGAGTTTTCTTCAGATTTTACCCTGAAAATCACAAAGACATCCTTGTGCACGGTAAGTTATGTCATTTGACTTTTGCAAATATAACTAGCAGTGCAGTTGATTGTCAAGCTAGTAAATTAATTGCCACTCTTGTGATAAATGAAAAAGATTATTGCCTTTGACAGTCTATCTTTGCCTTGGTTAAGCTATTGAACAGATCTGTTTTAATAGGCCAGTAGACTTTTAAAAAGTTAGTTTAGTTCAGAAGAGAAAGTATTAGGAAATGACGTTTACATAATGATTTTTCTTAATAGATTATTCATTATTACCTACTAGAGGCCTGGTGCACGAAATTCATGCATGGGAGGGGGTGTCCTTCAGCCTGGCCTGCGCCTTCTTGCAATCCGGGCGGGACCCCTTGGGTAGGATCCCTAGGCCTGGCTGGCAATCAGGGCCTATTGTGGCTTTTCTTCCCATGGCTGCTGGCAGCTGGCCCCGCCCCCACTGCTGCCACTGCTTGATTAATAACAACTGACCAATCCTGCAAGGGATTCTTACATAGAAATTAGTTGTCATATCACCAATATTATTAAATAATATTGTTTCAAATCTACTTTCAGTTACCTTCACAAATGTAAAACTGTAATGAAGACTTTTAAGCACTGTGTTTGTTTTTAGTTATACATGTTTTTGAAATTTATATAGACAGATGAGTTTATTGAGTTTCATTGGTATGTTCTTTATTTTCTGGATATTGGTCAGGGTTCTTAGTTTCAGACAACAGAGTCCAAATCAGCTTATTTAAGCAGAAAGGGATTTATTTACTAAAAAGAATGAGATAATTTCCAGACATATTGGGAGAGCTAAAGGAAAAGATTATATTTTAAATTTCTAGAAACAACTAGAACTACACCATAGCACTGGCCTGCTACCAAGCTACCAACTCTAATGCTCCTGACCCACTCAGTAAGTGGTAGCCACCACTGACAACCCAGATGAATAAAACTCTACTACCTGTTCTTCTCCTACCAACTCAGGCTGTCTAGTTCCTCCTTAAACACATCTTCATTTAGCACATCTGCTTGGTTGAACCTAGGTTGTGTTGTTCCCTGGCTATCAATGTCTTGGAAAGTAGTTTTAGCTATAATAGTGTTGTGTTATAGATAGAGTACAAGAAGCTTTATGTTAAAAAATTGCATTTATCTTTCGATGATCTTAGTTTTATTCTGAAAGAGTAAAATAGAAAGAAACAAAACAAAAAAATGAAGTGTGTTTAATCCAAAGATTATAAAATATTTTATACTGAAGAATAACGTATCAAATAGGTACTTGCTGCATTTGTCCCTATACAATCAGAGTTCCATAAGAAAAAGAATCAGAAGCAAAGTTATCTTGTAGGTGTAAAGAACCTTTTATATTTACACTAGAGGTTCGATGCATGAAATTTGTGCAAGAGCCTTGACCCCGGCCCCTGCCCGCCACCTCTGCAGCTGGGGGTCTCTGCTGCTGGGGCCTCTGCTGCGGCCCCCGCCCACTGCGGCTTTGTCTGGAAGGAAGAACATCCGGTCTAATTAGCATATTATGCTTTCATTATTACAGATTTTTATTTCTAACATGCCTGAATGGTTTTAGTATAAAACTCTGGAAATGAATCAGGCCTAGAGTTTGGGAGGAGGTAGCAGGAAGTGGGAGTAGATTTGTATATGTCTGATTACTGCTGAGTAATTCACATTGAGAGGAATGTATAGTTTCAAACCATATTTATTGGGTGCATGCCAGGCACTGGTGATGTAAATTTTAGTAATTAACAGTCAGTGTTAACTCTTCTGAAATTATTCTGTGAAATAATTAGTCAATATAAATTGTTTTCCCATGGTGATAATATCTCAAAGTCATTTGATGCTTGCATATCAGGCAATGTGCTAATCACTTTAAAAGCATTATTTCATTTAGTCTTCATAATAACCATTTGAAGTGGGTACTAATATTACTCCCCATTTTATGGGTGAAGAAAAAATCACTGTAAAGTTTTACTTGTGAAATATCCTTACTCTTTTCTGACCCCCAAAAAAAACCCTTCTTAGTGGAATGTACAAACTTTTAAAGGATCATAAAGAAATGTTATGAATGAGATTTTCTAGGTGTGGAAAAAACGAGGTTGGAAGTTACATTTAAAACAGACTTGAAAAATTTTACTGTTGGCCAATAGTCTATCAGTTGTTGGAAGGGAAAGGGTAAGTAAATGTGTATGATCAAAATGTGTTCTTCCTCAGCGATAGGACTGACAGATTTATATGATAAAATAAGTCACATACCCTCTTTGTAGCAGAGAAAAGTAGACCTTGAATTTTTTTTTCTTTACACTTTCAGAGTAAGCTTGTAGTTATTTGGTTAAGCATATACATTTTTTTAGAAATTTCCTTTCCTTCCCAGCATACTTACTCTAATGTGAGCCTGACATAAATAAGAGTTTGTTGCCTAATGCTTTTAGTACATTTTCATTATTTGTGAGTCCCAACTATCCACCCATATCCACTCCAGCTATTTTTGGTGCCAACTCCTTACACTCTTCCTCTATGACTGTCTGCAGCTAATTATTATGCAAACCTAATCTCTAAGCCTACTTTTGAATGATAGATTATTTCCCCGGTTACTTGGGAATAATTCATAACAAAGGTATTAAAAAGGATGAGTGCCTAATTGGAACTTTCTCATAGTAGTTAGAAGAATTAGTGAAAATAAAAACAGTGCCTGGTAAAAGTTGGAGGAAGTTACTTTGGGGAGGAAGAGGTGTGGTTTTTTTAGATGAAGTGAAGAAAGAAGTATCCAGTTTTGTATTGCTAAGTACAAACCTTCAGATATATGAAATGTTTTTTTCTTGAATGCATAGCTTAAAAATAAGAAGGACAAAATCTCAGAGTTACTAAGGCCATTTTAAGTATATACATAACCATTTATTTCTTAATGGGATTCTAAATTTGTGGCTTAATTAAAATATTAGAGAAAATTGGATTTTTCAAATTAACAAGATGCTAAGAACACCCCCTTTGCATTTAATTTCAATAGCATGTGTGCTATAGACTGATAATGTTTTTAGGCAACTTTCTTAAGCTTATTAGAATCTTTAATGATGTCCTTCCCCAACACAGACACAGAAACACACACACATACACCCACCAAAGAAGAAATTTGATAGCATTCTTAATTTAATGCTGTACATTAACAAACTTTATGTTAACATGTGATATTTATATGTACATGTCTTGAGTTTGGTTGTCTATAATGATTAAAGGCTAATCTTCCAATGAATATTAGTAACACATGCATAGTAATTTCTGAGCATTTGCTACTGTATTATATTGTATTATTGACAGTTTCACCTTTGCTTTTATGGTGATGTATGAAGGCTTAGTTAGCAACTGACTTTTGTCATATCAGCCTGCCTAACCTTACAGTAAATAAACAGTAAAGTCCATTATTTTAATGGAAAGTTTATAGGTTCTCAAAAGCAAATGGCTAAGGCTATACAATTTGGAACTAACATGTTTTATCTTGTGAATTCTAGTTTATTTTTAATGTCATTTATGTAATTGTGTAATGTTCTCTTTATGTTCCATCAGCGTTTATATTAGCATCTGTTTAAGCTTCTTAAAGATAGAGACAAGCATCCTTTTTTATAATCGTAGGTATATATTAAATAGCTTTTTATACTGCCTTTTCTAGAATGCGTTGTTCACCTTTAAAATGAAAAGATTTAAGATAGTTTTATCAGGTTATATGCTCATGTACATAAATAATAACTTTGACATGTAAAGAGTTTTATTTGTTATATTATCTCTTAAAGCAATCATTTTTATATCTTAACTTCAGCATTATATTTTATTTTATTCTACCTTTAGCATTGGGATAATGACTGACACAGCAGTGTTCAGTTTGTATAAGCTTTCATTAATATGTTTTTAAACCTTACTTAAAAAAGAATGTTATTTTTCCTAGACATTTTTCTTTTACTACAGTTGTTAAAGATGAACCAATGAATTAAACCAAAAAAACAGGAGACTTAAAAACAATTTTTTCTAAAACTTTTAAATTTATTTTTAAATTATAGTTAGCATAAAGTATATTAATTTCAGGTGTACAACATAGTGATTAGTCATTTATATACCTTATGAATAGTAGATGTTTTTATATTTGTACTTAAAAACCTCTTACAGTAAACTCTTTTATTTTAGATTCTATTCATAAATATTAGTACAGTGGCATTTGACTTATTTAATTTTTTATTGCAACTTTAAAATTTTGTATACTAATAAAACATTTATATTAATGGCTCTTTCAGTTTGTTAAACAAATATTAAATGCTGAGTATGTGCCTGGTCAGAAATCTGTGGATGAACACACACACACAAAATAAACATAAAACCTATTCTTGTCTTGAAAAGGCACTTAATTGAGAGGAAGGAGGTAGGTGCTAAGAACATTTCAGTATGAATATAACGATATGAAGAGAGATATGTACAGGTTGGTCTGGGACTGGGCGCACAGAAAATAGATATTTTCTGGAGGAAAAATTAGTTTGTCATTAAATTTTATAGCCAATATTCCACGAGGAAGAAAAAAAATTTACTCTATCCCTTCAAAAAAAAAAAAAAGATTTTATTTCAAACAAAGAACCCTAATCTGTTTCCAAATATTAAAAAAAAAAAAAATTTAAGGAAAGGCCATTTAATAAGTTCACTTTCATATAATTTCAATTCATATGTTTTTTAATTCACTGTTGTTTTCCTTTTTAAAAAAAAATGTTTTTATTGATTTTAGATAGAGGAAGGGAGAGGGAGAGAGATAGAAACATCAATGATGAGAGAGAATCATCTATTGGTTGCCTCCTGCACAACCCCTAGTGGGGATCAAGCGCAACTGGAACACATGCCCTGACTGGGAATTGAACCGTGACCTCCTGGTTCATAGGTTGATGGTCAACAACTGAGCCACACCAGCCAGGCTCACTGTTGTTTTCTTTTTTTTTTTTTTGTATAAATATATTTTATTGATTTTTTACAGAGAGGAAGGGAGAGGGATAGAGAGTTAGAAACATCGATGAGAGAGAAATATCAATCAGCTGCCTCCTGCACACGCCCCACTGGGGATGTGCCCGCAACGAAGGTACATGCCCTTGACCGGAATCGAACCTGGAACCCTTGAGTCCGCAGGCCGATGCTCTATCCACTGAGCCAAACCAGTTAGGGCTCACTGTTGTTTTCTTAATCTGTATTCTTTCTGCTGTTGATAGCTAATAAATATTTTATTTTAAATACTATGTTTTTTAGTTCCAGGATTTCTATTTTAATTTTTTTGAGTTATCATTTTTCATCTTTTTAGCTAGTTATATCAATTTTTAATAACCTATATTCCTTAATATATTTATAATTTTTAGGATCTATTTACCAATCCCCTCAGCTATCTGTAAGTCTACTTCTTTTACTTACAGGCACTATGTTTTGTTTTTGTAATTTTATATTTTATGCTAGACATTGTATAAAAGACTAGTATAAAAGACTAGTACAGACTGTAGTAGCTAATATTTTTCCCTGGAAGAGCCTGAACTCACCTGTCAGGTAGCTAGAATAAAGGGCTGATTCTTTTATCTAAACTGGAGTTGAGTTTGATCAGAGGTTTGTACCACTGTTAGTTTCCCGTGTCTTAAGCTCAGGTTTAGGCCTCTTTCTCTTGCCAATTTCCTGGGAAGACCATCAGAATAAAGCTGGTTTTAGGGAAGAAGACAAAGTCAGGATTTTATGAGGTTTGGGAGATCTGATTTTTGGTGAGTCTTTCAGTGTGGAGCAAGGGGTTAGAGGGATAGGAAAGGTGCTGGTCTGGATTTGGCATGGTTCTTTATCTAGTTGAGAATTGGTGGACATTGTGAGGGTTGGCTTTCTGAGTGAATTTTGAAGAATAAGTAGTCTAGCTAAGTCATCTGTTCTTGAGAAAATGTATTTACTCACAGGTTTAGTTGAAAAGTCTCTTATTTATATAAATAGGTTTTTTTGAGTGACTGAAACAAGGAATCTCATCTTGGGCAAGAGTTTCTGGAATAGAGAGTTGATTAATAATGTGATGTTAATGGTGATGGTGAACTGTGTAGTTGCAGATGATTTTGGCTTTGGTATCTAAGCACTGAAGGAAAACCTCTCTCTTCCTGCTTTTGGAGCATAGCCACCAGCTTCATCTACATTCTCAGTTTGCAGAGAGGACTAGCTCTACCTTTCAGGCTTCTCTAAATTCCTGTGCACCATATTAGCCCAGACCTGGCCATAAAAATGGGCTGGGTTCTCCTTGTTCAAGTAACGTTCCTGTGCTTATGGTCATTCATTCATTTATTCCTTCTTTCTTCCTTTCCCTTGGACCCAACATTGGATAAATTCCCTCAGGTTTGAAAGCCACTATTTCTGTCTGCTCAACTAGAAAGGGCTCATCCCTCTCTGAAAATTGTTTATTTAATTTTATTTTCTTCCAAGGCTATTCGATGGTTTTCATGGAAAATATGAGTGTTTTCTTTCTGTTACATCTTCACTAGAAACAGTCTTTTTTAAAGTTAGGAAAAGTAAGTAAAAAATAAACAAAAATTATTAGTGAACCAGTAATAAATTGTATGTTACCTCCCAATTCTCATTTTGTTTTTTTTCCTCTTTTTTTTCCTTTTTAAAAAAATATATTTTATTAATTTTTTACAGAGAGGAAGGGAGAGGGATAGAGAGTTAGAAATATTGATGAGAGAGAAACATCGATCAGCTGCCTCCTGCACACCCCCTACTGGGGATGTGCTTGCAACCAAGGTACATGCCCTTGACCGGAATCGAACCTGGGACCCTTCAGTCCACAGGCCGACGCTCTATCCACTAAGCCAAGCCGGTTAGGGCCTCTTTTTTTTTTTTTTTTAATCATATACTTGATAAGTACTCAAAAGATAAATTTATCTTTGAATGGAGTAAAAACAAGTCTTTGAGTTACTGTTTTCTAAGGTTAATGCAGATGTTATGAAAAGAAACTTAAATGTTTACAATTCAAATTTTTAGTGATTCCTTACTCATAGTACTCTTTGTTTTCATTTTACTTTTTAATTAAGCTTTAAAATTTTCCAATGGCTTAAGAAAAAATCAAAATGAGCCTATTTCTTTGTAATAGTTTTCTTTAAGTCTTCTTTCAAGGCTTTTAGAAAATCTCTGTCAATAGAAACCTACTAATTCCAAACTCATTCTTGAGTATTAAATCAGTTGTTAGTACTTTGGGGTATATATTGACCTAATTTTGACCTTGCAAAGCTAATCAGCTAAAGAAACTAATTATTAAATCACATCTGTGCTGCTTAGAAATAGTAAGACTTGTCTTGAACTTGCATCGTAGATTTTAGTGGGACATCTGGTATATATTTCAGTAGGCTCCATTAAGTAAATTTTATGTCTTGAAGGGGGAGAGCATTTCTAATGATGTGATTCTACCTCTATAACCAGTTTTAGGTTTCTCCTTGTATGAATGACCATAGGATCTATTCTAGAGCATGGTCCTGAATTTTTTTCTTTCAGACTATTTAGCCTTAGATGGTGGTGGAATACTTAAATCTCTTCTTTTATTCTGGTTTTTTTTGAGTGGTATTATGTGCTAAGAGCTGCACTGCATTGTGAATATAATAACAAGCCAAGCAGACAGTTCTATTCACAAGGCATTAATGGGGAGACATATTAAAATTCACCTTATGAATATTAGATAAACCAAAGAGTTATTAAGAATTTGATTCCATGTGATAAAAGCATTGTAGTTATATAAGAAAATGTCCATACTTTTTAGAGATATAAACTGAAGTATACAGGGGAGAAATGACATGATGTCAGGCATTGCTTCAAAATAGCTCAGCAAATACGGGCATGGGCAGGGGGCAGAGGAAGAATAGATGAAGCAAGTGTTCCAAATACTGTTGAATATAGGTACTTAGAGCTTCTATACTTGTCTGTGTTTGAAATTTTTAATAGTTGGATTTTTTAAAAACAATCATACTAGTGAAAGTATTCTAAGAAATGCATAAGAGTGATGAGGCAAAGGTACTCCATTGAGATAAGTTATTTCTATACAACTCAGCTACCTGCTGTAGCTACCAAAGCTGAACACATGTTTACCCTATGGCTTAACCATCTCACTTAAGTCTTTAAACAGAAGAAATGTGTTCATATGTTCACCAAAACACATGAGTAAGGATGTCCATTGCAGCATTCTTCATTGTAGCTAAAGACTGGAAACAAGCAAAAAATTCATCATTAGTAAAATGGATAAGTAATAGTATATTTATGGAGTAGTGTACATCAATGAAAATGATGAACTTCAGCTGCGCAGGAAAATCGAGAAGCGGAACCTCAAGTTGTGGCAGAGGAACCTAAAGCTGCAGGGGGCCTGGGATGTGAGCCCGTCAGAAACTCAAGATCAAGATGTGTCTCAAGAAACCGTAGCAAGTGGAAAAATTAAAAAATCCCTGAAACAGTCTGTGAATGTAGGCTTGTCAGGAGCCCCAAATAGAGATACATGTAAAGAAACAGTGGGAGGTGGAAAAGTTAAAAAATCCCTAAAGCCGTCTATGAATAAGGGCCTGTCAGAAGCCCAAAATGGAGATATATCTAAAGAAACAGTGGAAAATGTAAAAGTTAAAAAGTCCCCCAAGAAATCTACCATATTAACCAACGGGGAAGCAGCAATGCACTCGCCCAATTCAGAATCTAAGAAGAAAAAGAAAAAGAGAAAAATGGTGGATGATACTGGGCCTGATACCAAAAAATCAAAAACAGAAGCCAAAGTGGAGCCAGAGGAAGGTGCCCAGGCCCCTGAAGAAACCGAAACCAGTGTGGGGAAGCCAGGCGATGGGGAAGAGGAGAGCGAGGTACCCAGCCTGCCCCTGGGACTGACAGGAACAGGAGTTCTTATTCTCTCCCCTACTAGGGAACTGGCCATGCAGACTTTCGGTGTTCTTAAAGAGCTGATGACACACCACGTTCACACATACGGGTTGATAATGGGCGGCAGCAACAGGTCTGCTGAGGCACAGAAGCTTGCTAATGGGATCAACATCATTGTGGCCACACCAGGCCGCCTCCTGGACCATATGCAGAATACTCCAGGGTTTATGTATAAAAACCTGCAGTGTCTGGTTATTGATGAGGCTGATCGTATTTTGGATGTTGGGTTTGAAGAGGAGTTAAAGCAAATTATTAAACTTCTGCCAACACGCAGGCAGACCATGCTCTTTTCTGCCACACAAACTCGAAGAGCTGAGGACCTGGCAAGGATTTCTCTGAAAAAGGAGCCATTGTATGTTAGTGTCGATGATGATAAAACTAATGCAACAGTGGATGGTCTTGAGCAGGGATATATTGTTTGTCCTTCCAAGAAAAGATTCCTCCTGCTCTTCACATTCCTTAAGAAGAACCGGAAGAGGACACTCATAGTCTTCTTCTCATCTTGTATGTCCGTGAAATACCACTGAGTTGCTGAACTACATCGATTTGCCTGTCTTGGCCATTCATGGAAGGCAGAAGCAAAATAAACGTACAACCACATTCTTCCAGTTCTGCAATGCGGGTACGGGGATATTGTTGTGCACGGACGTGGCAGCTAGAGGGCTGGACATTCCTGAAGTCGACTGGATTGGTCAGTATGACCCTCCAGATGACCCCTAGGAATACATTCATCAAGTGGGAAGAACTGCAAGGGGCCTAAACGAAAGGGGGCATGCCTTGCTCATTTTGCGTCCTGTAGAATTGGGTTTTCTTCGTTACCTGAAGCAATCCAAGGTCCCATTAAGTGAATTTGTGTTTTCCTGGTCCAAAATTTCTGACATTCAGTCTCAGCTTGAAAAATTGATTGAAAAGAACTACTTCCTTCATAAGTCAGCCCAGGAAGCATATAAGTCGTACATTTGAGCATATGACTCCCATTCTCTGAAACAAATCTTTAACGTTAATAACTTAAATTTGCCTCACATTGCTCTGTCATTTGGCTTCAAGTTGCCTCCTTTTGTTGATCTGAACTTGAACAGCAATGAAGACAAGCTGAAGAAGAGAGGAGGCGGCGGTGGATTCGGCTACCAGAAGCCCAAGAAAGTGGAGAAGTCCAAAATCTTCAAGCACATTAGCAAGAAGTCTTCCGACGGCAGGCAGTTCTCTCACTGAAGACGTCCTTCCACCTTCGGGGCTTAGTCCTGAGAGGAGTGGTTTTTCTTGCTCTAACAAGGACTTTTGACTGTAGGATTGGGACTGATCTAACAAGAGTGTAAATTGGCATGAAGTGCAAGCAATGAGCACTATTTCCAGCAAGTCTTGTTTATGTTGAGTCATAAAACAAAAACGAGTTCATTTTTTCTTGATTTCCCAAGGACAGCGCAAAAGGGTTTTTTGGTCTTTGTTGTGATTAAAGGGTATTTTGAGGTTAAAAAAACAAAAAAAAAGATGAACTTCACTGTATGCTACAACATATAGTACATATCTATAAACAATTGAATATAAAAAAATAAACGAACAAGCAGAACAGAAACATACTCATAAATACAGAGAACATTTTGAAGGTTGCCAGATGGGAGGGTGGTTAAGGGATAGATGAAAAAGGTAAAGGGATTAAGAAGTACAAATTGGCCTTTCCAGCGGTGACAGCTTCCTCTTGACATCTTGCTAAGGATCTCCTTCATCCCTCTCCAGGAGAGAAAGGAAACACAAGAAAAAGCGCCTGGGCAGAGTCTCAGTTTCTACTTCATGGGTGTGCAGTGCCCAGGATGCTATAAAATCACCACTGTTAGCCATGCACAGACGGTAGTTTTATGTGTTGGTTGCTCCACTGTCCTGTCTCAGCCTACAGGAGGAAAAGCAAGGCTGACAGAGGGTGCTCCTTCAGAAAGAAGCAGCACTAAAAGCACCCTGACAAACGGGGAACCATCCCAATAAACACACTTTGGATTTAAAATATAAAAGAATTGGTTGTTATAGAATAGTCATGGGGATATAAAGTACAACATGGGGAATATAGTCAATAATCCTATCTAATAAAGAGGTGATATGCAAATTGACCATCATTCCAACACACAAGGTGGCTGCCCCCATGTGGCCACAAGATGGCCGGCAGGGGAGAGCAGTTGGGGGGGACCAGGCCTGCAGGGGAGCAGTTAGGCAGTGATCAGGCTGGCAGGGGAGCAGTTAGGCAGTGATCAGGCTGGCAGGGGAGCAGTTAGGGGGTGATCAGGCTGGCAGGGGAGTGGTTAGGGGGTGATCAGGCTGGCAGGCAGAAGCAGTTAGGGGCAATCAGGCAGGCAGGCAGGCGAGTGGTTGGGAGCCAGCAGTCCCGGATGTGAGAGGGATGTTCCAGACTGGAGAGGGTGTAGGTTGGGCTGAGGGACACCCCCCCACCACCACCCCGTGCACGAATTTTGTGAACCGGGCCCCTAGTCTGTATATATATAAAAGGCTAATATGCTAAATGTCCGACCATCCGACCAGTCGCTATGACGCGCACTGACCACCAGGGGGCAGATGCTCAACGCAGGAGTTGCCATGACACACACTGGACATTTACAGAGAAAGGGCACGGCGGACCTGGCACCCACAAAGCAACACTCGACTTCCCCCAAGTGGGACACAGGCCCTGCCACCGCCCTGGAGCAACAGCCCACCAAATTGCAGCCGACACTGCCGAGACCCCTATGGCGCAAAATGTTGCCCATGGCCCAGCCCAGCCTGGAAATGGTGGCTGTGGGCACTGGGTAATGACGTGACGTAGCAACTCTGGGCTTCCTCTTCCTAGCGACAACTAGCCTCCTTGCAGTTTCTTCAGTCCAGGAACATGACTTGCTTTATAGCCAGGTGCAAACATTTCACACTTTAACCAAATGTCTGTGAAGCATTTTCCCGTGCCTCATCTCATTTGATACACACAGAAGTCCTGGAGTAGGTAGACAAGAGATTCGGTGGAATCCTATTTTCTTTTCATTAGCTGGGAAACGGAGATTTAGAAAGTTTAGGAACTTGACCCGACTGAAAAGAAGTAAGAAATGGTAGACCTTGAAAATGACCAGGTTTTCTCACTGCACAGAATATAGTCAAACACTGCTGCAGCTAAATATTTTACTCTTTGTTCTCCCTGCGTGATCTACAATAATCTGCTTCGTGTTGATATTTACTGCTGTGTTGCTGACAATTACCTGAAAGAGAAGTTGGGGTGCCTCACCAAGCTGGAAAAAGTTTAGCTAAATCAGAAAGCAGGTCTAATTTAGCAAGTTTATCTATATATATAAAAGGCTAAGTTGACTTGCACATGCACGATATATATATAAAGCTCTCCCTGGCGCCAGTCACATGCATGTGTTTCAGTCTGTCATTGTTGATCATGAATTTGGTTGACACTTTTATTATAGAGAAAGGGTGAATAGTGACATTAAAATACTAGTATTTCTTCTAATTAATTTCTTTTCAGTGTGCACAAATTCGTGCACCGGGCCTCTAGTATTCTAATAACTATGTAAGGTGTCAGATGGGTACAAGATTTATCAGCAGATCACTTGGTAAGTTATGTAATGTCTAAGCACTGGTGTGCATACCTGAAACTAATATAATAATGTATGTCAACTCTAATTGAAAAGTACAAATGATTTTTTAAAATTAAAATAAAGAGCAAATCCAATGGAATAGCATCATGTACTAATTATAACTTAAACTAAATTAACTATTCATGTTTAAAAAAAGAGTCTGTGAAAGAAATAATGGTTTAAATAGTGCAGATGATTGTACCCTCCATTTTATTTAGCAAACATGGGCCCATTTAGGGGTACATGAAGTGGATATCGGCTATTTTTATGTACTGTTCAATCTATAAATAATCACTTTTCTAAAATTTATCAAACCACCTACTAGCCTCATTCCAGGGATGTCTTTTTTTTTTAATTTTTTTCTTTATTGATTAAGGTATTACATATGTGTCCTTATCCCCCATTGCTCCCCCACTCCCCCCACTCATGCCCTCACCCCCCTGGTGTCTGTGTCCATTGGTTAGGCTTATATGCATGCATATAAGTCCTTTGGTGATCTCTCCCCCTTATCCCGACCCTCCCTTACCTTCCCTCTGAGGTTTGACGGTCTGATTGATGCTGCTTTGTCTCTGGATCTGTTTTTGTTCATCAGTTTATGTTGATCATTATATTCCACAAATGAGTGAGACCATGTGATATTTATCTTTCTCTGACTGGCTTATTTAGTTTAGCATAATGCTCTCCAGTTCCATCCCATGCCGTTGCTTCTTTTTTACCTCAGCCATACTATTCCCTTGTGTAGATGTACCACAGTTTTTTAATCCACTCATCTGCTGATGGGCACTTAGGCTGTTTCCAAATCTTAGCTATGGTAAACTGTGCTGCTATGAACATAGGGGTGCACATATCCTTTCTGATTGGTGTTTCTGGTTTCTTGGGATATATTTCTAGAAGTGGGATTACTGGGTCAAATGGGAGTTCCATTTTTAGTTTTTTGAGGAAACTCCATACTGTTCTTTACAGTGCCTGCACCAGTCTGCATTCCCACCAGCAGTGCACGAGGATTCTTTTTTTCTCCGTATCCTCGCCAGCACTTGTCATTTGTTGATTTGTTGACGATAGCCATTCTGACAGGTGTGAGATGGTACCTCATTGTCGTTTTGATTTGCATCTCTCGGATGATTAGTGACTTTGAGCAGGTTTTCATATGTCTCTTGGCCCTCCTTATGTCTTCTTTCGAAAAGTATCTATTTAGGTCGTTGCCCATTTTTTGATTGGGTTGTTTATCTTCCTTTTGTTAAGTTGTATGAGTTCCCTGTAAATATTGGAGATTAAACCTTTATCAGTGATAACATTGGCAAATATGTTCTCCCGTGCAGTGGGCTTTCTTGTTTTGTTGATGCTTTCTTTTGCTGTGCAAAAGCTTTTTATTTTGATGTAGTCCCATTTGTTTATTTTCTCTTTAGTTTCCATTGCCCTAGGAACTGTATCAGTAAATATATTGCTACAACATATGTCTGAGATTTTGCTGCCTGTGGATTCCTCTAATATTTTTATGGTTTCCTCTCTTATGTTTAAGTCCTTTATCCATTTTGAGTTTATTTTTGTGTATGGTGTAAGTTGGTCTAGTTTCATTTTTTTGCATGTATCTGTCCAATTTTCCCAACACCAATTATTGAAGAGACTGTCTTGACTCCATTGTATGTTCTTGCCTTCTTTGTCAAATATTAATTGAGCATAATGGCTTGGGTCGATTTCTGGGTTCTCTATTCTATTCCATTGGTCTATATGTCTGTTCTTGTGCCAGTACCAGGCAGTTTTGAGAACAGTGGCTTTGTAATACAGCTTGATATCTGGTATTGAGATCCCTCCTACTTTGTTCTTCTTTCTCAGGATTGCTGCAGCCAGTGGTTCTCAACCTGTGGGTCGCGACCCCTTTGGGGGTCGAACGACCCTTTCACAGGTGTCGCCTAAATACATCCTGCATATCAGATATTTACATTACGATTCATAACAGTAGCAAAATTACAGTTATGAAGTAGCAACGAAAATAATTTTATGGTTGGGGGTCACCACAACATGAGGAACTGTATTAAAGGGTCGCGGCATTAGGAAGGTTGAGAACCACTGGCTGCAGCTATTCGGGGTCTTTTTTTATTCCAGGTGAATTTTTGGAGAGTTTGTTCTAGGTCTGTG